TCTGTGTGCCATGAGATGAAAATGGCAGTTCTACTTTTATGTGGTATAACACAACTGTTAGAAACCAAGTACCACACTTCATAGAGATTTGTCTAACATGGGGCCTGAAAATGCTAATGTTGATGATGATGTGATCTTTTGTGATTCCTGAATCAGATGGTATTATAGTTAAATTGGAAGTTTCACCTATTGGTTAACTATTACTTACTTTCTTATAAACAACATCCCAAAGGAAAAGGGTGATTTGATCAAAAGGAAAATAGTACAAAAAGACTTATGTGGCTTGATTCAAATACCAATAATTTGCATAAAGATCAGAAAAGGACCCAAAATTTGATTTCTACTTCATTTCTTGTCATTAAAATGACTATCTGGTATAAACATTAATTCAATAACATGAATTAAATGCCCAAATAATTAAATTATTAGGTAAATGCTCATTAGATGGAAGTTAAGAGTAAATATCTTCCCAGATCTTTTCCACCTGGATACTTTATGAATCACACAAGCACATGAATTGAGACCAGGCCCATCCAATGGCTTATGAAAATGTTTCAGACCTCTTACCTGAGGTATCATGAATTTAAAACTTTAGCTGAAGTGTTTATTCTAAGTACACAGTATCTATTGTCTTTCTGAGATGACCTCGATCAGAAGCAAAGCTCATGCTTTGGTGTCCTCCTATACCCAAAGGTGTTAACTTGAATCTGAGAGTTTGTTTAAAGGGTTTGGTGATGTGGACAGTATGGCCGATGGGCTGATCATAAAGCCCATGGATAAAAGATCTGCCTGGGCATGGGGTAGTCACCAGCCAACAAAACTCTCCAAGAACAGGCCAGAAAACCATCCCAGGAATACGATTATTTCACTTCAGAGATTTCTTTACATGACAGACAACTTGCACTCATACTTTTTAGTTCTTAGTTTGGTCAAAGACAAACTGGGGAGAGAAGAGAGACAAGTTAGGTCTGGCATGGACATAAGACCCACTATATCTGCAGCACATGAGTGACAAGTGACAAAAAGAGAGATCTAGTCCAGCCGGCATGGCTCAGTAGTTGAGCGTTGACCTATGAACCAGGAGGTCACAGTTCAATTCTCGGTCAGGGCACATGCCTTGGTTGCAGGCTTGACCCCCTGTAGGGGGCATGCAGGAGGCAGCGGATCGATGTTTCTCTCTCATCAATATTTCTCTCTCTCTCACCCTCTCCTTTCCTCCTTCTAAAATCAATAAAAACATATATTTTTTAAAAAGGTTCCAACATTTACCTTGACATTTGTGAATGGGGTACCACTGACTTGTCCCCAGGAAAAAGGAGGAAGCCTTAAACGAACTGGTTTCCCCCGAGCCTTCTTGGCTAGAAGCAGAAGATAGGTAGCTGTGAGATGATCATATTGCCACTGGAAGAAAAGAAAATCAAGTTGTTTAGAAGATTAAATGTGCTTTTTGAAATAATGTTCTATTTTAAATTAATTTTTTCCTGGATGTAATAGACATTCAGAATTTTTTAAAATTTTTTAGCTTTACAAGGCATATAATGAAAAACAGCAATCCTCTACACCACACCACACACACCCATTTCTACTCCCCAGAAAGAACTACTTTTAAACACATTTAGCTATTTTTCTATATTCCTAAATTAACAGTTTATATAGCTTTAATTTTTTCCTCAGCTTCAGATATCATTTTTAGATTTCCTACTGTGTAGAATTTAGCTCTACTATAATTCCTTCCTTCCTTCCCCACACATCTCCTCCCTGCATCCTCCTGTTATAATTTTGTTGTAATTTTAGTAAATCAATATTTATGTTATTACTATGTAAATATATGGTATTCACAACTAAGTAAGGTAATGTTCAAATATTTAATTAGTACACCAACCAATCAGAACAGAGGCCAAGAGGTGTGGCATTCTGGGGGCCCCTGTGATGCCGATTATTGTCCTTTTAATGATGGATTTGAGGTGGGCCTAGAGGGAGGTGCCTAGGGCCCAAGGGAAGCAACAGGGAGGGCACTCTGGGTAGCAGTTATTTACCAGTCAGTGTATAAACATTAGCATCTTACAACCAGTATGGCCACACTGGCTGAGTATTAGCCCTGCAGTTAAACCACACATGTTGCTATCCTTGCATTTCCTTTTTTTTATAACTTGTTTTTTCCTAGTTAAATCTTTTAAAGGCAGTTATTTATCTTACTAATTCAACTCCACAGTCTCCAACACCCTTCACCTCCTCCCAACATGTTCACACATATCAGCCCATCTGTCTCCTTCTCTGTCCCTTTTGGAGACCTTCCTCCTGACACCTGCATTCCATACTCCGCTCTGGATTGACTTCTTTCTCAGCCTGCAACTCAACTGTTAATCTTGGGATTCCCTTCACCTCTGTCCTACAACGTACCCACAATTCCCTAGATCCTAAGTATCCCTCTTTCTTTTTCCTTTCTTTCTCTCCTTCTCTTTCTTTCTTTCTTTCTCTCCTGCTCTCTTTCTTTCTTTCTTTTTCTTTTATTGATCTTAGAGAGAAGGAGGAAGGAAGGAAAGAAAGGAGGGAGGGAGGAACATCAATGTAAGAGAGAAATATCCATTGGTTGCCTTCTGCACACACCCGGACGGGGATCGAAGCCACAACCCAGGGATGTGCCCTGGCAGGGAATCAAACCCGCCACCTTCTGGTGTACGGAATGATGCTCCAACCAACTAGACACACCAGTCTAACTATTCCTCTTTCTTGGTTTACTTTCTTGTTCTGGTGGAAACATCTCCAATAACTTCCTGAGGGTAGATGAATGGTAGGTAAATTTTTTGAGAGCTTGCTTGTCTGACAAATGACTGCATTCTATCCACACATTTGATTCTAGTTTAGCAAAGTATAGAATTCTAGGTTGACAATAATTTTCAGTTTTGAAGACATAGATCCATGATCTTCTCACTTCTAGTATAACTACGGAAAAATCTAAAATCTTTCTGATTCCCAAGACTTGTGTATGATCCTTTTTGGTTTTTGTCCCTGACACTTTTTGAGTCTTCCTTTCCCCAGTTTTCTGATATTTCCCTTCAGAAGACCCGTGTGTGGATCTCTTTTCATCATTTTGCTAAGCCCTGGTTAAGCCCCTTTGTTCTTAGAAACTCTTTTCTGGAATATTTCTTCAGTGGTTTCTTCCCTTCTTTCCTCTGTTTTATCTTTCTGTAACTTATATTATTTGTATGTAGGACCTTTTTTACCCCTCTCTTCTATTTGTGCATCTCTTTGTCTTTAGGGTCTACTTTCAGAAGGTTTCACATTAACTCATTTTCCAAACATTTCTACTGAGCTTTTCTCATTTTTTATTTTTGGTCATATTTTAAATTTCCAACAGCTATTTCTTGAAATGTTCTTTTTAGTCATCTTATTCCTATTTCAAAAAAGAAATAGCTTCTCTTATCTCTAAGAATGTTAGTTATCATTTCTTAGCCATTTTTTCCCACTTCCTGTTATCTTTTTTTTCCCCCCGAGTATCTTTACTTTTTCTTCCTTCTGGCCAACCCCACGTCATTTATTTTGACCTGTGGCTTTCATGTTAGAAGCTTTCCTCAAATATCTGGTGATCTTTGGCTGTCTGCCTCTATTTAAAAGTGAAGAATTATAATAACACAGCTAATTAAAGGCTCTATGTGTAGTCTGGGGCTGCTTAACACCTTGGGGACTTTTCTCTAAGGCAGTGATTTCAACTGCTGTACCGCAAGAATTTTTAAATCATGCAATACCTGCCTATTTAGTCAGGGGCACTGACCTCATTTCCCTTAGATTGTCAAATAAAAAATGACAACAGCCCATGTTACAATAGCCATCAGGTGTGAATGAATCAAAATCACACCTATGTTTTTGTCAGACTACAAAAAATATATTTTTGGTGTGCTGCAGAATTTGGGCTGCTTAACCTTGGGGACTTTTCTCTAAGGCAGTGATTTCAACTGCTGTACCGCAAGAATTTTTAAATCATGCAATACCTGCCTATTTAGTCAGGGGCACTGACCTCATTTCCCTTAGATTGTCAAATAAAAAATGAGAACAGCCAATGTTACAATAGCCATCAGGTGTGAATGAATCAAAATCACACCTATGTTTTTGTCAGACTACAAAAAATATATTTTTGGTGTGCTGCAGAATTTTAGTAATTAGTTTATGGGTGCTGTGTGATGAAAAAGGTTGAAAATCACAGCTCTAAGGTAAACACACAAGAAAACTGAACTCCCAACCATTGCTACAGCAAGTAGGATTTTCCTCCTGACTTTCCCCTAGAGAGGAACCTTCCAATGTTCCCCCACCCCCACTGCACACAATACA